CATGCCTGACTAGGGGCCCATGATGGCTCTCTCTGAAGTTGATTGACTCCACAGCCTAAAACTGGTGAACTCCTTCTCATCAGGTGGATTCCTGCAGGCAGTAGCCCAGCATCTTCAGAAGCTCAGTATGAGAGTGGGCTCAACAACCAAAGTATTGTCTCAACTAGAAAGGATGGATTCCCTGCTATAACTGGAACTAAAATGTTCCTCCCAGCACTGAAGACTTCCTCTCTGCTTCTAACATCCTCTCTGTTGGCCTTAGAATGCCAGATCCCAAGTCCTGCAGCTCCTGGAAGTCCACACCTCAGGCCAGGAGAGGGAGGATGCCAGGGCTCTTCTGCAGGAGGCGCTGCTCCACTGCGGTCACTTTCAATTCCAGGCCACACTTGCCCACCAGGTGGTGGAATCGACGCCCCCGTGTAACTCAGGCCTATCCTCACCGCCCTAACCTGCACACTGAACCATGAAAGGACATAACTCACATTAAACTGTGGTCAGGGAACAGACTTTTGAGCCAGATACACATGAGCGTGAAATGTAGTTCAACCAATTATATGCTGCGTAGTTTTTGTTAAGTCACGTGAATCCTTTCCAGGTCAGTTTCATGAAAGGAAAAGTGACAATAATAATGGCAAATGAGGGAATTCCCTGGCGGTCCAATGGTTAGGACTCTGCACTCTCACTGCCAAGGGCCCAAGTTCAGTCCCTGGTCTGGGAACTGAGATCCCACAAGCCACGCGTGCCGTGGCCAGAAGAAAAGAAAAAATAATAATAATGGCAAATGAATAAATGGCAAGATTATAAGAATACTCCTGTTACCTAATATGTGATCAATATTGATGACATGTTTGGGTAGAGGGCTTCTTAGATCTTCCGTAAGAGTTATCCATAGACTTTGTTGTCTGTACGTTCTGCTCAGTTTGCTTGGAACCTAAAAAACTCTAAAAAAATAAAGCATTTTTAGAAAAAGAATGAAAGGATATCATCTGTTTTCCTTAATTCCATATATGTGATTTACCTAATTAGTGAGAAAATATTTGAGTAAAAAAGACATGCCTTGGGCTTCCCTGGTGGCGCAGTGGTTGAGAGTCTGCCTGCCCATACAGGGGACACGGGTTCGTGCCCCGGTCTGGGAGGATCCCACATGCCACGGAGCGGCTGGGCCCGTGAGCCATGGCCACTGAGCCTGCGCGTCTGGAGCCTGTGCTCCGCAACGGGAGAGGCCACAGCGGTGAGGGACGCATGTATCGCAAAAAAAAAAAAGGCATGCCTTGATTAGATCTACATTGTCTTGGCATCCAAATTAATCAGGGTGTGTCTTTCGATTTACATGATTGATGAGATTATCAGCTGCTTATAAAGAGGGATTGCCATGAAAAGCTGATTTATCTAGAGAGAGAAAGAAACTCTGAGTTCCTCTGGGTGGTGACCGCATCCTCAATAAAGAGTTGGCTTCTTTGGCTTTTCCATGGGTTTGGGTAAGTAGTAGAGAGAATTTTTGTCAGGAAAGACAGACTCCGTTATTTCAGAAGAGTTTATAATCAGGAAATGATGGTTCACAGGAGTGCAGCCACTTGGGGGCAAGTTTCCTTACTGTGGACATAGAGTTTCTCTGTATTTATAATTCATATGTAGTGGTCAGAGGTGAACTTGCCTAATCTTACCATGTATAGGTAGATTTAGACCACTGGGAAGGCAGAGCATAAATAAATATCTAATGACTAATTAGGTGAATGGCCTCAAGGAGTGGTAGAGTTCTGTGTTAATTAGGGCAGAGGGGAAGGGAAAGGTTTAAGTTGGTTGGAGTTTAGTGAAAGTCTCCTGCTAGTTGAGATTTAAACTGATGCTGACATAAATTGTGTATGGGTGGGAAGTTTGTGTGTGTGGATTGGGTGGAAGTGAAGGTTGATACCAGTCCCCAGTGTAGAGATAGTAGCAGTATGTGTGTGGGCTCAGCCAGGTCATGCACACATCAATGCCAGGATGTCTGGTGGAGCCGTTAACTAAGACTGAAGACTAGAGGAGGAGTGATTTTTGTATTTGGAGGGCAGAGGTGTTGTCCTGAGAAATATTTCGTTTTAGGTGTATGTAAGTTTGCAAGGAGAGATGACAGCGCAGAAATGGAATCCAGACAAGAAGCTGGTCATTTTCAACAGAGAGATAGCAGTAGAAGAAGTGAGGGCAAGTGAATAAGTGTGTGCGAGGAGAGCAGGAGCTCCCGTTGAGTCTTGCGACACTCCAGCAGGACCGAGGAATTCCTTGCAGAGGACGGGTAACAGAGTAGATTGAAGACAGGAGAATGAGGTTTCAGTTTAGGCTAGGAAAAAGTTCCAGAAAGGACGTCAAGTTTCAACTTTTGTTTTCAAGGAAGAATCTATATGTGGGGAGATACTTGGTGATATTAGCAATATGTATGCATGAGGTAATCATTGAGGGTCTTTGCAAGTCAAGGGAGAGGAGTACATGAGGGGCTGACGGCTGTACTTCCAGCTTGATGGTGAAGGGAGGATAGGTGGGCAGGGACTTGAGAAAAAATAGGTTCAGAGGAGATTTTTGCTTCAAGTAAAAAGAGACATAATGAGCTTAACTGATGAGGGGACTGATGGACGGGTTTCCGGTAAAGGGGAACAAGAAAACAGGAGAGAAAGGAGTTCAGCTGGAGACTCTAGACTTAGCTAGAGGCAGCATGACCCGTCAATTTGAAGGGAGAAAAGGAGTAACCCAGGGGTAGGAATGTAGGAATATCTGTAGCTATCATGATGGTAAAGCGAGTTACTTTGTCGCATCATGTAATCCGTCTGTGTTATGAACTGAATTGTGTGCCCCCAAAAGTCAAATATTGAAGCCATCCTCAGACCTCAGAGTGTGATGGTATTTGGAGATTAGGCCTTAAAAGTGGTGATTAAGTTAAAATGAGGTTCTTAGGGTGGGCCCTAATCCAATTTGGCTGGCGCCTTTGCAAGAAGAGGAGATTATGGCACAGACATGTCCAGTGGGAAGACACAGGGAGAAAACAGTCATCCGGAAGCTAAGATGGGCGGCCTCGGAAGAGACCAACCCTGGCTTCACTTCGATTTCGGACTTAGAGCCTCCAGAATTGTGAGAAAATAAATTTGCTTAAGCCACCCGGTCTGTGATACTTTGTTACAGCAGCCTTAGCAAACTAATACAATATGTGTCGTAGGAAATAACCTCATCTTTTGAAATGTGAAGAGTGTGTAGATTCAAAAGGCATGGTGACAATTTGAAATATTTATGGAGCAAATATTTGAAATATTTCTGTTTTACTTTGCCAAACATAGTAGAGTTGCCAGATATATTTGAAAACAACTAGGAGTAGGTGATTCTGTGTTTAGACAGGGGTCAACTTAATAGTAGTGTGTGTCGGATGCAGTCATGGAAAAGGCAGGTACAAGGAGTCACCTGCTATTGGGATTTTGATGGGGAAATCCGGTTAATAGTCCAAGGGACATAGAAAATGTTCTGGTCTTGGTAAGTGCCTGTTGAAGTGAGTAAGTGTGGATTAAACTGAGCAGGAAAAATGTAGAGAGATGTAGCTTGATGTTTGAGAAGTGAAATAAGTACATTGGGGGTCCCCACGTGGCAGAGGACCTGAGTTTGGGGTATCAGAAGGCAGAGAGGTTGTAGTTACAGGTTGGGGCTCCTGATTAATGTCAGAGGAGATATTCCAGGTAAAACCTGGATGTGATGTGTATTGAGTAAGGAATAGGAGCATAGGAGACAGGCAGAACAAAATTAAAATTATAGATGCGTCATTTCTAGCTGTGACTTTGTTATACGACTAACTTTTTGGACCTCTTCTGTGTGTGTCATTTGTTATATTGGTAAACAAACTAATAAAATCGCCAGGTTTATTTGAACGCCTAAATGAGTGAATATACGTAAATATCCAAGCACTAAGTCATGTTTGATACAAACTTTTTTCTTTTTCTGGACCTCAGGTACAAATGGGTGAGTTAATCCTACTTTTGTTGATGATGCATTATCATCATTTTCCCATGAAATATATTTAGTTATTGGTATTTCAGGGGAGAATTTACACTTTATAAATGCTTTCTCTGTGTGTCTCTTGCACACATTTGTGTGTATATATATATATATATATATATATATATATATATATGCATGTACACATACATGTGTTTGTGTATAATGAAATGCGGGGATATTGCAGCTAATGAAGATTAATGCAGAACATGATTTCAAGGATTTCAGCTACCCCTTTACTAAGATAATCAGCTGGAGTTAGCCCAGCCATCCTTGACACAGAGGGTTGAGACAGTCCACGACCGGAACACTAGGACTCGTGTACCCTTGCTTCCTTCTGGAGCAGCGGATGTTAAGGACGAGACCGGAAGGGTGGGTGCCACGGTTCCTCCAAGTGGAATAAGTCCTTAAGTTAACTCCCTCATAAAACAGACTTTTAGTTGATTGACTTCCAGGTCCGTGGGCGTCAGATCCAACAGAGTTAAGGGAGCACTGCCATGAATGCTGGGGGACCCCTGCCAGTGTGTAAGTCAGAATAATGAAATCTGAGAACTCCCAGTGTTTACCTGCAGGTGGGAACCAAAATCTACGTGCACCGTGGGTGAGGGGTCACTGGTTTGGAGTCAGGGAGAGAACTGAATAACTCTGGGTACCACAGGCTAATTAACATATGAAGCTCAATACTTTCCATGTTCTTGTCTGTAAGTTATTTGTATTTCTACTTTTTAAATTAACAGCCACAGTTAAAGTCTTCTTACTTTTGCCCCTGGGAGAGGAGTAGAGGCCTCTGTGTGTTTCCAGTAGAGTGTGCACTGCATGTTTGTTGGTTAGACTGGGCGTCACACCCAGGTGAAGGTTTGGGGCTTCATGAAGGTGTGCACAGCCCTGGAGTCTCACGGCTTCTTCTCCATCCTCAGCTCTGCCTGCTTAGTGCTTGGACTGTCTGTGAGTGAAAACCCAGAGAAAGACTGCTCGCAGCTGAGTTACTGACAATGCAGCCATTGGTGAGTAAGCAGTGCCTCTTTCTGCTGGAATTGCACACACTGCTGCTGACAGCAGATGAGCAGGTTTCTCTTACTTGCATGGATGTTCTAAGTGCAGTCAAGAAACATCCAGGGATCTGAGCTCCAGTGAAATTTCCCCAGGACTCTGGGATGGTTGTCATGGGTCAAGAACTTCTTAATAACTAGTATCCTTCCTAACATCACACTCTTATTCCAGCCTCCGCTAAGCTTGTGTATTTACAGAAGAGGTGAGAGAAGTTTTCTTTCTCTAATCTGTCCACGGTCTCATTGGGGAATAATTCACTCGTTAATCATGTTAGTGGCTGTCGTGGTCTAAGGTTGTGGTGAATAGAGAGGAGGGAAGAGGAGAGCATTACAGTCCAATAGGGAGGCCGAGGTCTCATCAGCTGGGTTCAGTCAGTCCTGTCTTCACAGGTCCTGGGTGTGGGCTGTGAGCTGTGAAGGGAGCACGAGAGAAGCTGAGGCCAAAGGAGGCATGAGGGATCATTCATTTATTTTTTTCCAATTTTAAAGTTTTGATATAATATATTTGCTCTTTTAGGAACTTCTTAAAAAGAAAATTAACCCTCTTTTTCATTTTTGGTAACGGGAATTAATGTATAGGGAGTATTATTTCCTTAATTGTGGCTCCATATTGAGGAGGAATAGAGTAAAATTTAAGACCCTGTGGAAAGTTTTAAAGAACTAGATAGACCAAAACCAGTCAAGAGGCTTCTGTTATCCTTTAGCAGAGAGACAAGCTAAAGAAAGGCGACAGTAAGGACTGGTGTTTGAGGTCCCATAAAACATTGAGAGTGGGGGTCCTCCCACCAGAGGGACGGGTCAGGCTGGGTCTGTCCTTCAGCACAGCCACCCCAGAGTCCCCCTGGCTTGTGCTGCTGGACCATCTGACCTCATACCTTCTTATGAACGCCCAAGTTCTGTAGAGTTCAGCGAGACCATGCCTGTTGATACCAAGTCCTGTATGAAACTTGTTCATTTCTGAATAATGCTGGAGACGGTTTCAAGGTTCTCGGACATTTTAATAAGTAATAGACTAAGGCTTGTATTTAATACATGTTTACTTAGGTAGGGAGAACTTCATTAGTTCATTGGATCTTTCAATACTCATAACAGGTTATTAAACCATTTAATAGATGAGTCTGAAGTTCATTTAGGGGAATGATACAACTACAGTTATGGTTTAAAAGTGGCAAATCAGGGCTTCCCTGGTGGCGCAGTGGTTGAGAGTCCGCCTGCCGATGCGGGGGACGCGGGTTCGTGCCCCAGTCCGGGAGGGTCCCACGTGCCGCTGGGCCCATGGGCCGTGGCCACTGGGCCTGCGCGTCCGGAGCCTGTGCCACAGCGGTGAGAGGCCCGCGTACCGCAAAAAAGCAAAACAACACACACACAAAAAACTGATACCCTTATACCTTATTGGGTATTTAACTTCAAAAAAAAAAAAAAAAAAAAAAAAGGTGGCAAATCATAGTTATCGTTTGCCTTGGATGTGTCAATGACTTATTGGAAATTAATCAAGAAGAGTTTTATGAATTTTCAAATGCAGCTTTTAATCACATGTCTGAACTCACAATTACCTGTTTTTTGGGAAGGTTTCCAGGTTTTTTTTTTATTACACCACACTTGGTGTGATTATTCCTTTATAATAAAGTTTTATTAATTCAGACTGTGTATATCTCTGTGATATATTGAAAAGCAGATGCCAGCTCGGCACTGAGAATGAACTGATGGGAACCCCAAACTCAGTTTGATCTTTCTGTACACCCAGCTTCTCCATCCACCCCTTTCCTCAGTGCTGCCACATCAATCCTCCTGCTCTGGACATTAGTAGGGGCTGCTCTGTCTGAACCACAATATCCATGTTTAGGAATCAGTGACGTTTGAAGATGTAGCAATCAGCTTCACCCAGGAAGAGTGGGCCCTGCTGGACACATCCCAGAGAAAGCTGTTCAGAGACGTGATGCTGGAGAACATCAGTCATCTGGTCTCCGTGGGTGAGTCTGTCAACATTTATGTATGTATGCAGGTAGGTAGGTAAGTAGGTTGGTAGGTAGGTAGGTAGATAGGTAGGTATTCATTGATTCAGTCAATAAGTATCTAGAACAGCTTCTGCATACTCGCTCCACTCCCTGTCCTGATTCTTTCATAGACCTTATAACTACATGAGAGAAAGTTGTTTAATATATTACTTACATCTAGTCTGTCACCCCACTAAAATGTAGTCTTGACCACAATTTAATGTCTTTCTTGCTACTCAATCTCTAACACTCAAAACAGACCCAGGAACTCAATGAATGTTTTTGAATGCATAAATAAATTGAGTAAATATTTTCTAAATATTCTGCTCTAGTCACTATGCTGAGGCTTGACAGCAGACTAGAGAAAATAGCAAAACCTTGATTATTCTCGTGGAACTTATGTTTACTGGCGTCTGTTTGAAGATAATATTCAACCGACTGTGGAGACATTTAATTTCTCCATTTTTTAAAAGACTGAGGATTCTGTGTTCTGTCTTCGGACTTGGCCATGGACATCAGCATCCAGAGGTCTTCACTACTTTGGTCACATGATCTGTACTTCAGTGTTGCCTCTGCTCATGGTGTTGTTGCCTGGGCTGAACTTCAGGGGTCTCCTTGTTCTTCCTCAGTAGCATGTCCTGAGCTTGATGATAATGCCCTTTTATTAGCACAGAACTCAAAATCCACCTTTTTTCCATGAACAGGGTATCAGCATTGCAAATCAGATGTGATTTTCCAGTTGGACCAAGGTGAAGAGCTGTGGATTGAAGGAAGAGGATTTTTCCAAAGCCACAGTCCAGGTATGCAGCAGCAGCCTGTACTTCAGTATGAGGAGGTGCCTAGTCAGTGAGTGATTATGTACTTAGAAACATCAACTGAAGATTTTGTTAAGTGAGTGAGGTTTTCTAAAACGTAGGTGAACGACATTGGGGCAAAATTCTTTAGATGTTATTATTCCTTACATATTTCAGTCACATTCATGTGTACTCCTGCCATTATCTTTTTTTGGCTTTAGGGAAAGTTAAACTTTCACATAATAACTCTTGTTCTCATCCTCCCCTTTGAAGGTTTTCCCTCTCTCTACCCAACAGCTCATCTCCATTTTAATATTTTCATATTTCAGTCCTGATAATCTTTACTAATTGTCAATGCCCTATAATGTGTTTCTGTTTCCTAGAGTATTCCCTATTGAAGTACCAATTTTTGAAACATACTCATAAAGGTCTTGGAGCTTTTCAACATTTTCATTCCCCTAATGGCATTCTAATTTTTTTTTTTCCAATTATTTTAGGCAGGGAAAGTGCCCTTAAAGAAATGTTAGCCACACAGCATATCAGCAGGGAAGACACCACTTAA